AGAGTACACGTAATCTCGTGCACAGTAATTACTAAGTGATTTTCGTGTATCGAAATTAAACATCCCTAAGAAAAATAACCAAAATATCACATCGACCATGGTGAAACCAAACAAGAACACCAACTCCTCCAAACAAACTCAACACCGATCCTGTCTAAGACTTACAAACGACTTCGATCCAGCCCAACTGAAGACAGTCTCAATGACAGTAAATCTAAGAAACCCAGCAAGAAAGCTATCCAAGACTTGCACAACCTTCTCGGGAGATCACGGATTACAAGAACTGTTCCATGTACAAGAAGACTTTGAAGATGCAATCCTAGACTTGGAGATAGAAGAGGACCAAATAGACGGCAAGTGGCAGATGGTCCTTCAACATKGGCCCAGACAGAAGTGGAACAACATGTGGCGCAACAACCGATTAAGTGAACAAGTGACAAGGGATAGCAAAGCACAATGGGAAATAGCCCTCCTTACCTTCAGGAAGTTTTATGCTTCATCCAGGAGTGCCAGGGACGACGTTATTGATTACTTAAAATCAGACGCAGTAAGGAAACCTCATTCAATCTCCTGTGAAGCACATGCCGATCAAATCCAGACATGCTGCACCAGAGCCAACATTCTTCATGGCGTCTGTGAGCCCCTATCAGGAAGAGAGATCAAGCAGATYCTTTTCAAATCCTTCCCTAAATCCTGGCAGAATGATTACAGGAAGTGTGGAAGAAATATCTTGAGGGACTCGACTGAAGATATTGTGGAGTTCATGACTGAACAAAAAGGAATAGCGGATGAAGAACAACAGCATACTACAAGGAAAAGACCAGCAGAAGATGATAACAATACAAGACAACGAGGACGGAATAATGGCAAACAAAGGAAGCGCAATAACAACAGCAACAACAATAGGAACAACAGACAGAATGAAACCCCAGAAGAAAGAAGAAACAGGACCAATGCAACGCCTTGCAAGATACATAATGGACAACACCTATGGGGGGAGTGCAAGTTCAATAAGAATGGTTACAATCGAAACGCCAATAACAACAATGGAGGAAATCAGAGCAACCAAGGAAATTACCAAAGGAACCAGGGAAATTCAAATGCAAACAACAACAGTAGGAAGCCTCCCGGATTGTATTATGTGGATGAACACGGGAACATGAAACCACATTCGATGCAGATTCAAACTCAGACTTATCATGGCTCCAATTCCAGGGGTCCTCCAAGCCATGTGTCGTTACAGTCCAACAGCAATCCAGGATCGACAGTCCGCTTCCAAGGACAAGGACAAGGCCCAAATCAACAGTGGTGACATACGAACGAGGCTTACTTTGCATTGCAATTGCCTCCGCTGCCTGCCACTCAATCATCAGGAGATAGCTTTGAACTTTATGGTCTTGATAATGATGAAGCTCTTAAAAACCCATCAGCAATAACCTTGAGAGCTCTGACAACACCACCAGATATGCAGGATGTACTACCAGTGGTCATCCTAGTATGCAAAGCCATCCAAGACTTACCGACAATGAATACATTCAAGGTTCTATTGGACAGTGAGAGTACAATGTGTCTCATTCACGAGCATTGCCTTCCACCAGGAACAGTTCCCTTTCAAGACCAATTCAGCTCAGTTACAACCACAGCTCAGGGGAGTTTTGACACTTCTAGGTATGTCTTCATATCCAACATTAGACTCCCAGAGTTTGGCAACGGCAAACATACCAGAGGAATCAATGCAAGGATCTTTTCAGCCCCCTGCAAATATGACATGATTCTAGGAAGGGACTTCCTACTGATGACAGGGATAGACCTCTTCTATTCCACGCGCACCATCAGATGGTTGGGCTCCAACATTGATATGAAACCAACAGATCATTTCAATGATCCCCAGCAAATAGCAGAAGCTATGTGGCTGGCAGAGGATGATGAACTCTTGGATGGAGGTTTCTTTGAGTTTCACCTACTCCCAAGCTGCCGACCTCAAAGTTGCAGACRWRCAATTGGTTCGGACAGTTATTTAGCAGGCCCGAGTGGCACTGCCAGAGCTACCAGTACTGAAAGTACAAAGCCTAATCAAATCCTGGACGCGCAGTACCAGAAAGTGACTCCAGAGCAGGTTGCAGACCAGCAAGAGCACATGAATATAACAGAAAGACTAGCATTCACAGAGATGCTAGCCAAGCACACAGAATTGTTTGATKGCAAATTGGGCAGATATCCACATGAAAAGATCCACATCGATCTAGAGGATGATGCAGAACCAGTTTATATAAGAC